ACACAACCCACCGCACGCCTCGTGGGCCCCCAGGCGAGCTCGAGCTAATGCCGCAGTGGCAGCCTGCGTATGCGGCAACCGCTTCCATTCCGGCACACCCCTCACGCGCTTCGTGGCCCCACAGGGAGCTCCACCGAAGGCCCCAGAGGCAAGGGTCGCATGCGGTAGCCGCGTGCATTTCGGCACACCCCTCACGCGCTACGTGGCCCCTCAAAGAGCTCCATCGAAAGCCCCAGGGGCAAGGTTCGCATAATGTGACTGCTTTCATTACGGCACGCCCCTCACGCGCTTCATGGCCCCACAAGGAGCTCCACCAACGTTCGCACGAGGTACCCGCTTCCATTTCGGCAAACGCCTCACGCGCTTCGTGGCCCCACAGGGGCTCCACCGAAGGCCCTAGTGGCAAGGGTCGCATGCGGTACCCGCTTCTATTTCGGCACACCCCTCACACGTTTCGTGGTCCCATCGGGAGGTCCACCTAAGCCTCCAACGGCAGGGTTCGCATGACGCCTCTCACGCGCTTCGTGGCCCCGCAGGGAACTCAACGGACGGCCCCAGTTGCAATACTCGCATGCGGTAATCGCTTCCATGTCGGCACGCCCCTCCCCCGCGTCGTAGCCCAACGGGGAGCTCCACCGAGGGCCCCAATGGCAAGGTTCGCACGTGGTTCCCGTCCCCATTTCGGCACAACCCTCACACGTGTCGTAGCCCCACAAAAAGCTCCAGCGAAGGCCCCAGTGGCAAGGTTCGCACGCGGTACGCGCTTCAATTTCGGCACACCCCTTACACGCCTCGTAGCCCCGTATGAAGCTCCCCGTCTTTCGTCCCACCTGCCCTGAGGTACCCACGCCTGAGTATCGTTGGGTCCTTCGCCCAGATATGTGTTCGCCACCTTTGAGCTTGCGCACTTCTGACGGAGGGCGTCGAATGACAGGCACGCCGCTTATTACGCGTTAGCACGTCAACACAATGATCTTCTAATGATGCGCGTGCGGGCGTGCGATGGCATGCCGTGGCGCGCTTATGTTATGGAGACGCCGTGTCTTCTGGACGTCGCTGTCCTTCTCCTCCTCCTACTCACACTTCATTACTGGCGCTGTCGGCGCTTCATTGAGGGAAACATCATATCCTCGCCGTTCTCTTCCCCCCCCCTCCTCCTTCTCCTCCTCCCCCTCCTGCTCCTCCTCCTTGCACACGACCTTGTTGAGACGAATCTTGTTGTCGTCCAAATTCTCATCGGCCAGCACAATGCACACCGTGTCCTTGCGCTTCTTGCCCTTGATGAGCACGTTGTCTCCGCGGAACATGTTCAGCTCCTCCATCTTCGCCTGCAAATTGTGAGGAGGATGAACGGGAGAAGGAGAGGTGGGAGGGGGTGAAAGATGATGGGCGGGAGGGGAAGGTGGGCTTGAGGATGAGGGAGGAGAAGGGTGCAGGAGGATAGGGGGGCGGATGGTGATGAGGCGCTGCGGAAAGACGATGAGGACGAGGATGAAGGGGAAGAAGGGCGAGGGAGAGGAGATCGAAAAGAACACGGAAAGCCTGCGAGAGCGAGATCACCGAATTGTCGTCGTTCAGAGCCTCCTCCACGACGAGCCGGTTCGGGGAGCGCTTCTTCTTGGGCGCCTCGGGCGCAGCGGCGACTGGGGCAGGCGCAGCGTCCGCCATGACAGCGGCTACTACCTGAGCGGGCTACTTGCCAAGGGCTCGTCGAATTGTATCAATGTTGTGCCAAAACGGCTGCTGCGAGGAGGAGGATCCTCATCCTGCTGCTCATCGTGGAGGCCCCCCTTCTCCGCCGCCACTTCCTCCTTCCCCGCCTCGGCCTCCGCAGTCCTTCTCTCTCCCTCGTCCACCTCCCAGCCCTGCCCACCTCCCATCCCTCCTCACATCCCTCCCCCCCTCTCCCTCCCGTTCCTCCTCGTGGGTGACGCGAGGAGTAGGAGGAGAAGGAGGAGGAGGAGGAGGAGGAGGACAGCAGGTGGAGGAGGAGGAGGAGGAGAAGAAGGAGCAGGAGGAGCAGGTTGAGCAGGCGGAGGAGGAGGAGCAGGCGGAAGTGGACCCACCTCCCTTGCGCGATCAGCGTGTCAGGGGCAGCGCTGGAGGCGCCGCTTGGAGGGCCCAGCGACCGTGGGGCTGCCACGCTTCCTCGGTGCTCGGCAAGCCGCCGCGGGCCCCCCCCCGTCCCGCGGAACGCAGGCCTTGAGCGCAGCGCCAGTCCTCGGTGCCCGCCCTTGAGGAGGCTGCGCTGCGCTAGCGGCCGCCTCCTCCCTCACTCCTCCCTCTCTGCTACGCAACAGTCTGCTGGCGACCCCTGGTACAGGAAAATGCTCACATGGCAGACGCGGACCCTAGGTCTTGCTTCGATTCGATTCGGCAAATCAGGAATGGCGTACAGCAGAGAAGAAGACATACCCCGAGAACCTGTGCAAACGCACAGCAGATGCGACGGTGCAGGCTGTGCAGAGTATGTGGGAGCAGGGGGATCCACATAGACCACCGTCGGACATGCTGGAGTCAGATGAAGCTAGAGAAGCCCTGTTGTTGTTTTTGTTATGTGTCCTGAAATCCTTATCTACGAGAGAGCGTGATCCACCGCCGCTTTACTGTGGAACATTGCCCCCTCTTCCTCCAGAACCCGGGGTTCCCCCCCCAACCCCCCCCCCCCTCCCCCCCCCCCCCCCTCAAAAACCGGGGAGCGTCACTACCGGTTCGAACCCCCCCCCCCCTCGAAAACCGGAGGGGGGGTCACTACCCCCTCCCACGTGTAACCCCCCCACTCACCGCCAGCAAACGACTCCCGGTCCCTACCACCGTCCGCGCCACACCCCCCACTGTTATTCCCAGCACCACTGTCCTCACCACCACTGTCCCCACTGGTTCCACCACCGTCCCTACTGTCTCCACCAGTGCTCCCACCACTGTCGCACTGTCCCCACTGTCCCCACCACTGTTCCCACCACGGTTCCACTCTCCCCACTTTCTCCACGGCCCCAACCACTGCCCGACTATCCCCACTGTGCCCGCTGTCGCACTGACTCCTCCGCTGTCCCACTGAGCTGTCCCACTGTTCCCACCATTGTCCCACTGTCCCCACCACTGTCCCCACTGTACCTCTGTCCCATTGTCCCACCGCCGTCCTCGCCACCGCCTTCACCACTGTCCCCACCACCACTGTACCCTCCACTGTCCCACTGTTTCCACCTCATTCCCACCGTCCCCACACCATTGTTCCCACCACCACCGTCCCCACCACGGTTCCACTCTCCCCACTGTTCCCACCATTGTCCTCACCACTGTCCCCACCACTACCGTCCCCACCACTGTCCCACTGTCCCCACCACTGTCCCGCTGTCCCCTCACCACTGTCCCCACCACCACCATCCCCACCATTGTCCGCACCCCCACTCGGTTTTCGAGGGGGGGGGTCTCGAACCGGTAGTGACCCCCCCCGGTTTTCGAGGGGGGGGTGTTCGAATCGGCAGTGACCCCCCCCCTTTTCATGATAAACTGGGGGGGGGGGGGAGGGGTTCGAACCGGTAGTGACCCTCCCGTTTTTCCGGAGGGGGGGGGAGGGGCTCGAACCGGTAGTGACCCCCTCGGTTTCCCGCCAGCAGCGGTAGAACACGATCTTTCTTATCTACGCAGGGGGTGCAGAAGGCTGGGCCCAAAATTTTGTCTCACGACGTGGTCCAGATAAACACCGTACCGACCCGGAAATCGAGCGTTTCACATCGGTTGCTGCTGTAATTCCTCGTGAGGGTAATGCTCTAGATCCCACCGCGATTCCAAGGTCACCAGGGCCGCCGGAGGCCGACGAGGGACAGGAATATGCCGAAGCGAGGTCCTCCACTGGTGGCTCCCAACAGTTGTCTGCTGGCATAGGCGTAAGTTCCCCTTTTCCTGCTTTTTCTCCCCCTCCCCCCTCCCCTGTCCCCCTGTCCTCCCAGATACGTGATCGTATTGCGAGGAACCGACAGAAACCAGAGACAGAAGAGCAGCCAAACGACGTGCAACTATTGCACTGTGGCCTGTCGGCCCAGATATTGGACTCGGTCTATTTGATCGTATGTAGTAGTTACCAAGGGATACCTCAGGCACAGTACGTGAGCCGCCACTGTTCAGTCGTGCTCCGCACCTGTTTCCTCCTTCCCCGCCCGCTGTCACCCCCTCTGCTGATGCCCCCCTCTGGCTGCCGCTGCCGCTCTACCTGGCGGCCGGTCGCCCCGCCTGTCTATCTACGTGGACTGGTTCTCCGAAGCTGCCCGCCTCTCTGTCGATGCGTGGTAGGCAGTTGCGGACTCCAGCGGGCCCCGAGAGCTCAGGCGGCATTAATCTGGCATCCGCACCGCCGGAATTCGGGGCCGCCCGCCCCGTGTGCCTGTCTCGCTTCCCAGCCGCAGGTTACGAGAACACGATGCAGATTGTCTCTTCGACAGCAGTGGGAGGGGTCATGATGGAGGTAGGACGTGGGCCGGATAGGTAGCATTGCACATGTGACGTAGGCTGGTGAATGCCCTTTTGGCCGCCCCAGTCCACTCAGCGTGCAAAATAGCCGCGTGATGGGGCCCCTGCTTTCATGTCGGCCGTTGCGAGGCGAAGATCACCAACCATCAGGAGCCCAATCTGGCGAGCCGTCTATGTGCATGTCTCGCTGACCAGACGCAGGCTGCAGATCATGTAACAGACTGTCAGGAGTGCAGGCATGCTTGATGCGTGGTGATCGGCCTTTTGGCCTACCTCACCTCCTGTAGTTTGGGCAAGATAAACGCTTTGTTGGGGCCCGTGCCTTTCCCGTCGGCCGTTGTGGTGCGAAGGTAACCTTCTCCTCAAGCAGACTAAGCGAGCCCCTGTTTAGTAGAGCTCCTCAACTGCTCCCTCACTGGCGCCCTGCTCATCTACTTGGACTGGTTCCCCGAAGCGCCCGCCTTTGTGTCGATGCGTGGTAGGCAGTTGCAGACTCCAGCGGATTCAGAGAGCTCAGGCGGAGTTAACCTGGC